TGGGATCTGGGAGAGAAAACCTCTCTTTGCCTTTCCATCAGCTGGAGCTGCATTCCTTGCATTCCTTGGCTCCTGGAGCCCCCTCCATATTCAAATCCAGCAGCATCTTCAAATGTGTCTGTGCTTCTGTCTTCACCTGGCCTTCTTCTTTATGTGGACCTTTCTGATTACACAGGCCCCACTCAGGTAAAACAGGATGCAGTCACAGGGTCCAGGAATTCGGACATGGACACCACGGGGAGCCAGTAGTCAGCCTGCTGAGTCTCTGTGTAACCACCATCACTCTGTGCTCCCAGTCTCTTCACTGTGTGAACCGTCTGCCCATTTGTCATTCACACACCTGCTCCTTCTTTCCCACGCTCTGCAATAAAGTTCACAGTGTCGCATGGAGTGTTGTCCTCCCTTGGAAGGAGATGGATGAAGACAAGAGAGAGAGAAGGGGAGGGAAGACAGAGGAGACAAGGAAGGGACACAATCTCTGCTCTGTGGTGCCAGGATCCCAGCAGGGCCAGTCATGTCCTGTCGCCTCAGAGGCCACAGCGTAGGCGTCTGTCCAGGAGGGACTAGGGGGAGCCCACGGAGGCAGATGTGTTGTCTGGAGGGAGAGGACGTCAGACCCCAAGCAGTAAACAGCTATGGAAACTCCCCCACAGGACAGCCCCTTGACAGTCCCCTGCATATCTGGTCAGCCACCCTGAGGGAGGAGGGGCTTCTTCAACCCCATCACACTGGCAGACTGTGTGGGGACTGGTCCTCCTGATACTGATTCAGGTTCATTTTGCCCGCCACATGAAATGCCAGTCACCAAGACGAGGTCGCAGCAGAGAAAGGGTTTATTCCCATGGAGGCCAGGCAAGGAAATGGGAAAACAAACCTAAAACGCACCTCCCCAACAATGGGTGTTAGGGATATTTATGGGATAAATGGGGCAGCGAAGTCTGAAGTGCGGGGATAGAGGATTGGAGGGAAGGAGACATGAAGTAATTGATGCTCTGCACAAGTGGAGTCAAGCTTCCTGACTCTCCGTAGGACACGTCTTCACAAAACGATGGCGTCAACACGATCTGAGGGTGGCCTCCTGATGTCAAAGAGTCGCCTATCGGTCATCCACCCAGGCCAAGTTGATGAGTCAGTGGTCTTAACAGGCCTGAACTGGACAAGGAGTCAACCCTCAGTTCCTGACACTTAAGCACCTGTTACCATGGTGACCCAAGCATCAGAGTGTTACCTGGGGGGCTGGGCTTTAGTAATGCATTATCTAATTACTTTTGCAAACAGACAACTAACTGAGGATAGTTAAAGCTAGTTGGTCCCCACTTTCACGCCTGACCCTGGGCCCTGACCCTGTACCAGGCCCCTTTGCACTCCTCCACTGGCCTCTCTCAACCCCGCCCTGCTCTCTTGCTGGTCCTGCGCACAGGTCCTTCCCCTTCTCACCCCCTGCCTTTCCCAGCCAGAGCCCATGATGCCATAGACAGAGCTCCCTGCAGCCTCTGCCTGTGCTGTGATGCCACATTCTGCCTCCAGGAAAGGGCTTCTCCCCCAGCCAGTGCTGAAACTGAGAATGAAGGAGGAAAAATTTCCCCGGATTAGGTGAAACCGTGCCTGTACCCACAAGGTTGACATGAGGGACAAAGTAACCAAAGTTTCTGAGCTGATTTGCAGAACAGCAAGAGGACCACGGATAAGAAAGCAGCTTGCTGACAGCTCCCCGCTATGAAACGTTGCACAGGGCATTGAGAAGCTAGAATGACTCTTTGTAAACTTTAGACGTCACAGACTAAAAACCCACTGCATCCAACAGGTAGAACTCCCCTGAATTTGCACATGCGACCCATGAACAAACATGAAAGACAGTCCCGCCTGCACAGGGACTCTTCAAACTTCAGCCCCCAAGGCCACATGCTCCTCCACCCCTACCTAAAACCTCAAATAAAAACCCTTGCTTGTAGCTTTTTGGGGAGTTCAGGATTACAGCATTAGCTGCCCAATCTCCTCACTGAGTGCTTTGCAATAAAATTCCTACTTTTTTCCACTACACCTGGTGTCAGAGATTGGCTTGCTGTGCAACCAGTGAGCAAATCCATTTCAGGCTCAGTAACAGTGCCTGCAGGCAGGACCTCCCTCCAAGTCCCCTGCCGTCTAGGTCACTGGGCTAGTTCAACCCTGCCGTGAGAAGAAGGGTGGACACTCAGCGCTTGGCCGGGGTTGGGGCATGAGAGTAAGCCGGGAGAGTCCTGGACAGGAAGGTCGGCAGGTCCCTGGCATCAGGTGATGCAGAAGGGCTCGGCTGACCGTCTCAGAGAGTACAAGACAACGAGAACCCGGAATTCTGGGCGGCAGGCCATGGACACGAGCTCTAACCACAGGATTCCACAGGAGATAAAGACAGTGACCAAGAAGGGACCCTGCTGGCTCCAGGCAAGGGGAAAAACCCAGGCTGAGTTCACACGCATATGCACACCCCCCGACACACACATACAGACACTGCTGTGCAGCCATCCCTGTGTGTGCCCCTCTCGCATAACACTGCACACGCACACGTGCACGAAAACGCCTGGGATCATAGGAGGCAGCAGGGAGTGTTTGCAGAGCTGGGAGGACTAGCTCACCTGTCCCCAGCCTCTGTCCTCCTCTCACACAGGAAGCCTCCCCCTTCCCTCAGGCTTCAGAGCTCTCAGCTCTATTTCCCACCCACTCCTGCCCCCCCAGAGAGAGTCATTGCTCCCTACGGAGTCTTGGTCAAAAGAGGCCTGAGTCAGAAGGCCCCAGCTCAAGCTTCTGCCTGATGAGCATCTTGGCAGCTTCCTTCCCTTAATGTTGAAGTGGGATGATGGCCTCCTCCTGGCCTGACTCACAGGCCTCCCGATAATCCAAAGACATAGGGAAGTAGACACATCTTAGACTCTGGCACCACCCATGGGCCAGAGCCGGTTATGACCACTGGGCTCAGCTCCCAGGTGATGGCTATTGAAACCCTATCTTCGCTTGAGCAGAGAAAGGTCTGTCCAGGGTCACAACAGAGGCGAAAGTGGGTGGCATGGGGGACAGACTGGCTGGGGCCCCGGCATCCCAGTCTCAGGTGGGCAAGGAGGTGTGGGTCTGGAAAGGGCTTTGCAGGAGTGAGCAGGTGGCCCATGCCAACCTTCCAGGGCTGTGGCCTTCATCTGAGGGAGGAAGCATCAATAGCAGGAAGGATGTGTCTCCAGATGGTGCATCCCCAGGTAGCATAGAGACCTCCCAAGTCGCAGGGCCAGAATTCCCCTCTCCCGTCCCTCCCCCATTCTCCATGCCCTCCCTTCCACAGCTGTCTAATTCCTGGGTTGGAGCCCACTTAATGGCCTTGGGCCTGAGGCCTTAGAGGAGAGTCTGCCCCCAGCCATCAGGCAGCTGCTGCAGGGACTCCTGGGGAAGGGTCTCTGGTTCAGCATGGGCCCCACCTGAGGCCTCCCCAAAAGTCTTTCTTTACAGCTTCGGGCCTCACCTGCCTCAAGGCCTGATTCAAGCACCATCTCTTCCAGGAAGCCCCATCAAATGCCACTCTGCCACCTTCCCAGCCAAAGCCCAAATGCCCAGAGCACCAGGTGACTGTGACACAGATGCTGACGATGTGAGGAGTGCCACAGACACCTATCTCAGGAGGGCAGAAGACACACCCGTGAGACCATCTTCCATATTCCTCGACCTGGGTGGCGGTCACCTGGAGTTTGCTTGAGAAACTCATTGTTCTGGATGTTTTTGCTTTAGGCAATTTTTCCTTATTTTTGTTATATTCCAAGCACACACACAAAAGTGAAACAAAGAAACCCATCTCAGTGAAGGGACAAAGCCACCCCTCTGTCACATGGGGTGGGTAAGTGCTTGGTCATAACCATGAATCCTGAGGCACAGCTTCCATTGCAGTCACTGAGTCACTGAGGCTGGATGTAAGTTTCTGCTACATTTTAGAAAGACTGCCAATTATGGGAGATAAGTGAAGATTCTAGAAGCAAGTAGGTGCAAGCCCTAGACATACAGGCATGATAAGCATTTATAGACAACATGGCCCTGCCCTCGAGGTGATAGTCTACGCCAGCGCCTCCTCCCCTTCTAATCTACAAGCCCCCAGAAGGCAGAGAGCCACAGCTACTGCACAACCCAGCCTGGGGAGGGCAGTACCCAGGGACAGACCACAGCCTGGGCTGTCTGGGGCCCTACTCTCAGAAGAGCTGCTTCCCAGAGCCTGGGCTTAAGGTGGAGGTGGACGCTGTTCCTGGAGTGCAGGACCAGCTGGGGCATCACAACGGTGGCCATGAAGGGTCCAGGGCAAACTCATAGCAGAGAAAGCAGAGGTCCGTGACCACCTTCATCTCGTTCATGGCAAACTGCTGCCCAATGCAGCTCCTGCAGTGAGAGCTCAAAATGGCATCAGGGCTGTGTAAGGTCAGAACTAAAGAACTGTCCTTGTGTTGCTTCTGTGGGGCCCTGTCAGTTCTGCTCACTTGACACACAGAGCGCCACCTGCTGGAGGAAAGGTTCTCTGTCAACATCCAGCTCCTGTCTCCTCCACTAGACTGTAAGAGTCTGGAGGGCAAGGCCAGGTATTCGTCATCTTCTGCGTCCCTAGCACAGGAACAAACCCAGGATAGGGCTCAGGGAGTTTTGTGGAGTGAATGAATAAAGGCTCAAGTGAATGAATGAATGAATGAAGAAAGTTTAAGATTCTAGGGTACAAAGATTCTTCTCAGTCTTAGAAGTCTGGAGTTGGTCTTCAGGCCTTCCAGCATGTGACCCAACCTCCCTGCTAGGACATCTCTCCCCAGTACCATGGCCAGCCATACCTAGCACCTTCCCACCTCTGAGCCTGTGCTGCTGTGTGTCCTGGGACAAGGAACAGGTCATGTTTGCAGGAGAAAGAGGACAGCAATGGTTAAGAGCCCCTGCTGCCATCCAGTGAGCCCCATCCCAGAGGATGGCGTGCAGGCCCTCTGGGACCAGTTCTCAGTTGGGTGCGCACTCACCCGAGCCCTCAGGAGAGTGTCCAGAAAGTCCAGGTGTCGGTTCCGGATATTCTCCTGCTCTTTCTCATCCTGCAGGGCTGCCTTCCATTCCCTGATGACCTGGTCTGGGCCAGAGCACAGGGTGTCACTGGCTGGGGACCCATCCTCAGCTCTAAGGGGAACCAAGCTCTTGCAAAGGGACAGACCCTGGAGGGGCTGAGAGGAACTGGACTAGAAGCTGGGCTTTCTATGGGTGGGCCCTGAGGCAAAGGCCCACCTGTGTGGTCGTGGGCCACCTGGCAGGCCCGCAGGAAGCGGCGGCCATGGGAGGTAAGCCAGTAGATGAAGTCATTGTGGTACTGGAAGGACTCAATGCGCTGCTGTGTCAGCAGAGTGAGCTCACAGACCGCGTGGTAATAGCTACTGTCCCTGCACAGCCGAGAAAGGGAGGGTCTCTCAGACGCTGACCTCCAGCAGAGCCCGAGCAGCTCCATTCCAGAATCCTCCCCAACTGCAGCGCTTTCTGCCTTCCTCTCCCTGTCCTTAAGTCTCCCCACTAAAGACAGAATCTGTCTCGCCACCGTGTTCAAGGCCCTGCTCCCCCCGAGCTGGGGCTACCCAGGGCAGGACCCTATCTCCTCTGAGAAAAGGGCCCAGGAGTCTTGCCAAGTCTCCCCTCGGAGCTGGCCTGGGTGGAGAGTGTGGTCAGCCCCAAGAGCCCCCTGACCTGTGACTCAGGCCAGTGTCTGCCTTGCCAAAGGTGCACTTCATGAGCATGTCCAGCGCCACGTGGCCCACATCACAGAAGATGTCAAAGCTCTTATCCTCACAAGCCTTCTCCTCCCACTTGTCCTGGAGCAGAGAGATGGAAAGTAATGTGAGGGGCCTGCTGGACTGGGTGCCCCACCCCTGCCCTCCAGAACCCACAGCCTGTCCTCCTCCCATGCACCCCCACTCCTTGGCCTGGCCTCCATCCTGCCAGAAGGTGGGGGTGGGGGCGGGTAGGGGCTGCAGTTCAGAGGGCAGGACCAGAAGGCAGGCTTTGCACATGCACAAGGACACTTCCTCCCAGCCGGGGCAGCCTGCATAGACGGGAAGAGGAGGCCCGAGGGGTGGTGAGCTCCCCAGCACAGTCTGTGAGTAAGTCAGGCCTGCAGTCATGCTGGGGAGGAGTTGTTGCAAAGGGAGGATCCTAGCCCTGGTAACCTCTGGGATTATCAGCCCCAAGACCCTGAGCCTGCCCCCTGGTCCCAGCATCCCTTTTAGAGATGAGGCGCTAATGGTGTTGTTTTAGGCAGTTGAGGGGGACAGAGAATGAGGAGGAGACACTTTTCACATGTGAAAGGGCTTCCTAATATCCTCACACACAGGCAGCCCTCAAATCTGCTACAGTCGGAGCCTTCTTGGGGCCCCACGGAGGCCCTTTGGTCCGGGAGGGAGGGCTGGGTCTCCTGGTGGAGACGAGGGCCAGGGCTGCCTGGCCACTGGGACCTTCAGCACCTGGTCAGCACCTGCACTCAGCAGGTGGCAGGTGGAGAAGGCTCAGCACTGCTATGGCAGGCAGAACGGGGCCTTGAGGCCTCAGTGATTCTCCTCACTGTCCTCTCCCAGGGAAAGCCAGGTGGGGAGGGCCTGGCCAGCAGCCACAGCCTCCAGGAGCCTGGCAGGGTGCCCACGAGCATGGGTGGAGTCAGCGAACAGGGCCACAAAGGGCTTTAGCACATCATAATGGAAGTCAGGCGTGAGCAGCTTGAGGTGCTGGAACCACTTGGGTCCCTGAAGGACCAGCAGGCCTTTCCCTGGGGAAAGGATGGGAGCAGAGGGCTGGTCAGTCCACACAATCCTGCCCCACCCCTTGCTTCCTGGAGCCAAGCACACCCCACCCCAGACCTGGGCCAAGCGTTGACTCAGTTCCTGAGCTACCACATGGACATTGGCAAATACCAGGCCATTTCTGAGCCTCAATTTCCTTGTCTTTACTTTAGAAAAAATAATCACTCACACCCCTCCCCATTTTTCAGGCTCAGGTGTATCTCGGACAGAGCAGAAGTGCCAAGCCCTGGAGAAATACAGAGGTGTGGGGGTTGCCATCGTTCCCAGGAAACCTTTGTAGCTCCCAAGAGCAACCACCCCTCCAGCCCTGCCCACCATTCCTGGCACCAAGGCCCTTCAGATACTGTGTTAGAGCCAAGAAGCCAGAACTAAGCTGTATTCCAGGCCCTCTACATACTCTTAAGGTGGGGAACAGGGGCATTTAGGGGAAAGAGGGCAGCCAGCTCTGACATGGGGGTATGGTAGCCAGGTCCCTGTCCTAGGGAAGCCCACAGGCTGAGGGCAAACCCAGCCTTGACGGAGGCAAGTGAAAGTGGAGAAGATGCGAGAGCAAAGGGATTGAAGGTCTCCTTAAATGCCTCTCATACCCCCATTAGGGTTGGACCTCAAACTTGCCATGGCCTCCTTGTGGACTTAGCAAAGCCTCTCCCAAACCCCTCCTGGTCCCTCCACTTGTCCTCTCCATCACTCTGTCTCCTCTGTCGACTCCTCTCCCTGCTCTCCAACATTCACTGTTTGTTCATTCAGTGATCCCTGCTCTGTGCCAGGCTTTGTGCTGGACCCTGAAAGTACCCGGATGAATCAGAGCAGATCTCCATCCTCTAGGTCTAGTGAGGAAGATAAACTAGTAAACAGTAGATGACAACCCAAAGGGACAAGTAGTGAGATACAGAGCATGGGGCTGATGCTCAATCCTGGTTAGGCACCCCACCTCGCCTGTGGCAGGGAAGGCTCTGGTATCTGTTTTCCCCTCTAGACAGGAAGCTCCTTGAGAGCAGGGCCTGGGTCTGATTCATCTCCCAGACTCACCCTTTCCTTTGCTGAGTGTCTTCAGGATGCATGTAGGTTACCAGGCCATCCTGAGAGGGCCATTAGTTGAAGGGGCAAGAATAAGCCTGGGCAGTCCTCACCAGAGGTCCAGCTCATTCCCAGCATCAGTCATGGAGGAGAGGCAATTCCCTAGACTGCAAATTGGAAAGTGTACTCAGGAGGTGGAAGAAGTCATCACGCCCCTCTCTGAGCCTTCATCTCTGGGTTCCCAAACCTGGCTGCAGATCACAACTCTTGGGGAGGTTTTCAACTTTGGACTCCTAGTTCCAATATGGTAATTAGGATCTCCAGGGGCTCTGGTGGAGCAGATTTCTCAGAAGGACTCTGCTTCTCCCAGTTGATTCCAATGCAGGTGTCCCTTGCCCTGTGTTCAGAAACCTCTGGTCCACATCCCCATTATGGCAGGGAGCTAAGAGGTGTTCCCGACAATGGATGCTAAGGTGGGCCCCACCACGCTGAGATAACTGGGCAGAACAAGCCAGGATCTGAACCCAGGAGATGCCACGGCTCTCGAGCCAGCCCAGAGGCAAGACAGGGAGAACCCCACCTTTGTGGGCACCAACTGCTCAGACACTCGGGGAGGTCTCTGAGGTGACAGCACTCATCTCTGCCTTCACTTTCCTTTTTAGTCTTAAAAATCGAAATCTTTACACTGCGCAGAACAAAGAGGGTGCTGATTACCCTCTAAATGTGATTGCCTAGTTCTATCGAATTATTTAGGGTTTCTCACCAACACTCTCGCTGAGCCCTTAGCAGAGGTTTCTCTGAACCTTGGGCCTCAGAATGGTGGGAAGGAGTCTGTGGCCTGCATGGGCCCCAACTGTGAAATGCTCCCCATCGGAGGCCAGCTCAGAAGGCAGCAGTGAGGGGGAGATCAGTGGAAAGCTGAACGGGAACCACGCCTCCAGGACGTCATCCCCCTGCCCAAACATAGGGTCTCCCTCCACGGCCCCAGGGGATTAGGCCTGATTCTCTGAAAGAGACGAGGCTGTTCTCTTTCTCCACTCTACACTCCCCACAACATACCTCAAGGGCGTGCCAGAAGTGCCAGTGCGTGGGGGGCCCTGGGAAGCTGTCCATAGCCCTGGCCAGCTTTTGCCTCCGCATCAGGAGTCTAAGGAGCTTGAGGAAACCTAAGACCAAGATCAGTCCAGAAGCCCACAGGCCCAGGTGGGACAGACTCAAGGGGAGCAGGACAGGCACCATGGCTGGAGATGCACCTGCCCAGGCTCTAGTCTGCCTCCTGCTTCCCCTGGTTTCCTTTACACTCAGGACCCAGGCACCTGCCAGCTCCCATCCCCAGCCACGCCCTGCAGCCAGCAGCAGCCCAGGCTGGGCTGAGCTCCACAGGGCAGAGACAGCAGCCTCAAAAGTCACAGACAACAGAGGAGACAGAACTCAGCTGAAGAGAAACCAGGTGGTGGACTTCAAAGAAACCAGGCAATATGTGTCCGGCCTTGGCTCCTTGAAGGAGCACACAGAAGGCAATTCTTGGTGTGATCATCACCTAATAACGACTGCCTTTTCATCCAAGCCCCTTTATGTTTCAGGCACTTTTCTACACACAATGTCATTTGACCCAAAGAAGCAGGTCATAGGCACTCACTCTTTACATGCATTTTCCACACAATGAAACTAAGACTCAGCTTACCTCTGCTTTCTTACAAGAAGGCTTCCACTGTCCCCTGCATCCCAGCATGTGAGCCTCTTTTCCTTACGCCTTCTCAGATTCCTGTCGATCATCTCCACAGATTGTGACCCGACATGGCAGGGACCCATGGACTGATGTCTGCATTCCCAGGCAAGCTCAGGGCCAGGCAGAGAGGATGGGATTGAGTGACTGGGGCAGAGAAGCATCTAGAAGACTGTTCTGTGAGAACATCTGAGGCTGCTCAGCCTTGACAGAGAGGAGATTCAGGAAGGAATAGTCATTGTCCTTAAGTGCAGGGCTGTCAGGTCAGCCTGCAGATCTACCTAAGGAAGCGTTGTCTGACAGACCTGAGAACACCAGTACAGGCTCCCTGTGAGGGAGTGAGCTCCCTGGACTGGGATGAGGAGCAGAGACCTGAGAGGGAAACTGACTTTTCCCGGGGGCCACATGCTCATCACACAACACGGCTTTGTCAGGTGGATGTGCTGACCAGGCTCTCAGAGCCCTGGCCCTCCCCACCGTCCCACTCTCCCATCCCGCTCCTTCCTGACTCCCGGCTGTGCCCATAGAGCCAGGGGGAAGGAGGGCACGGGAACTCCTGGAAGGCTTTGAGCAGCCACTGTCTGCGCAGGTAGAGCTGGGCGGCCTTGAGCAGCAGCAGAACCAGGCTGAGCAGGGAGGCCACTTGCAGGAACCCAGAGACACTGCCCAGGGGTCTGGGGGGGCTCAGCCCAGAGACACTCATGGTGCAGAGGCTTCTGGAGTGCTGACTTCCCTGACCGTTGCGACCTCCCCTGAACAGCCCAGACCAAGTCAGTCAGGGGAAGATTGTCCCGCCCACCTGTGAGGAGGGCACAGGGTGAGGGCAGAGCTTAGACCTGGGCCACCACAGTTGATTAACTGTGGAGGATCAACCTTGGGAAACAGTGGGAGAATAGCTTTCTCAGCTGATGGTGATAATGGCCCAGTACATATCAAACTTCCAGTCATCAGTTTTCTACACAAATACTATGTGCACCTACTGTGTGCCAGGCAGGACAGTAGATGCTGGGACATAACTGCAAGCAAAACAGACACGAATTCTGACTTCAAGGAATCCACAGTCTAGTTTACTATATTCCAATAACATTCATTCAGTAGCACTTTTTTGTTACATGATCAAATGGAATTCTCAATTTGATATGCACATTCAGACCCTAATATCAGCCAAATCTTTTGATATTTACTTTTATGTCATATTTTAATACTAATTTTAGTTGCCACCAGCAACCTCTTTCAACTATTGGGTGAGAAAGAGTGGAAATTATGTCATTTCTGTTAACTGGATGACGGTGTAGATTAGCCGATGCTAGTCCAGCTGCCCTTCAAGGACTTTTTTATATTCACATTGGAGAGATTGGCTTCACAATAGCAATAGCAATAGCAATAGCAACAGCATGATTCATTCTCCATTCAAATACATGAGAATTTCAACAAATTTTTATACCTAATCTGAGTTATGGTGTTTTCTCACTAATAGTGCCCTGAACCTTAGGTCAGAAACAGGCTCCAGGATCTGGGAACACTGCCCATCCCACTTCCCTGCTCCTTCTCCTGAAGGAAGCCACCCCAGGAAGGAAGCAAGAGAGAGAGTAGTACTGAGCACTTCAGGTAGAGAGAGTGGAATGAGGAAATACCAGGAGAGGGAACAGAGAGGAAACTATTGGAATTATGGCACGGCCCCTGTAGAAGCTACCAGTGGGATCCCACCTCTTACGCTCACGATGGAAGCCAAACCCTTTGCCACCCAGGCCTGACACAAGCTGATTCCTGCAGGTCAACCTGGTGTCCTCTCCACACCTGCACTCTGCAGTGCATCCTCCTCTCCTGCTCTTCATGCCCAAGACAACATCTGCATCTCTGCTTGTGCTGTTCGCTCTGCCCGGAATGCTTCTTGGCGGCTCAAATGTCACTTCCTCTAGGAAATTTTCCATGGGCTGTCCTTGAAATCTGTCTCTCCCTACTTTATTCCCCAAGGTCCCCAGTGCTGGCCTCCACCATAGCTGTGATTAAACAGTTTTATAAGTATATAACAGAAAAGGGAAAAGTGCTAGTTTTAAAAGTCATCTGCAGTCTGAGCCAATTGGCTAAGGAAGAAGGTAGAATTGTTCTTGGGGAGAGAATGTTCTCTTGGTTAGAAAAAGACCATAAGAGGTAAATTTTGATGAAATTCCCCTGGCCATAGGTTAAATGTGAGCTCATGGGACAGAGAGAGTTTAAACTGCTGCGTAAGATGTTTATGACCCAGCACCCTGCTTTCGCTATTCACTGCTCTCCCCATCCCCTTGCCAATCCCCACTCAGGCAGCTAGGCCTGCAACTCTTTGCAAACAAAGTTAAATTATTTATTTGGGAATTCAAAAGCTAAGACCTTGAGTTGCAAAAACCCAGGCTTTTGAACTTCGAAAACCTAAGCCCTGAAGGATTTGTATAAACTCTGTAACATAAATAGTAGATTTGCAGAAATATACAATCAATTGGAGCCACTTTGCCACAGCTAAGACCAAAACTATATGAAACGAGGCAGCAAGGAGAGAGAAAAAGCCAGTGGTGAAGAAGAGATGACACTCTGAGGAGTCCCTGAGGAAGGTCCTTTTGTTACCTACACTGGGAACTCGGAGAGTGAAAAAGGATACATGCCCTTCCTGGGTCAAACCCAGGAAAGCAGGAGGCCCATGTGGCTCTGGAAAGGCAGTGAAAAAGGAGCTGCATGGTGCTTGTAGTCTGAGGAGTCTTAACAGCCTTACAGCATGGGAGCAAATGAGTGTTCTGTGCACCCTGCTAGGGATCAGCGGCCGCTGGGAGGGAGTTGGACCCGGAGAGATGTTGTGGTTGGAAATGAAGGAAGACATAGCGGCCATCCTTGTGAATTGACAAGAATGGTGAGACAGAACCATGTGTAGCTCAGGGCATGCCCCCAACACTCCAGCCTCACCAGTATTGGGATGACTCCTAGAACTTGACACACATCTGGCAGAAGGAGCAAGGAAAGCCTGAAGTGACTGAGAACATTTATGCCACCTAGAGGAAGGGTGTCAGAAAAATAAAATGTTTCAATGTAAAAGAAATAACATTTCATTTCATGCAGCCGTATATTTATGGACTAAGAATCTAATGGTTTTTGGGTCTGCATATCAAAACAAGAATTAATGCAGCTGAAGAGAGCGAGGAAGAATGAGGGTAGAGGGAGAAAGAGAGGCCCAAGATGATGGCAGAAAGCTTCAGCTCAAGGGTGAACAGGACCAGCAAAAATCCCCCATGGTTTGCAGTGCCTGTAAATTTCCACTAAAGTGAGTCTCATACTCAAATTTAATTTCTCACTTGTCCTGGTCTTTGCTGCAGCTACCCTCTGTGGCCCCAAAATCTTCAATATCATCCACACTAGCCTTGCATTAGTGATGCTTTGTGAGGATGAAGGAGGAGGAGCAGTGGTGTGTGTGGAACCAAGTAGCAAAGAAAGAGGACAAGCACTGCCAGGACCTAGAGTGGTGGCAGTCAGATGGTGGCTGGGGCTGGAGTCATCTCAAAGGCTTCCTTGCTCCTGTGCCACTCAAGTGTTACCTGGGACCTCAGCTGAGGCTGTTGGCCAGAACACCTGCACATGGACTCTCCGTGTGGTCTGGGCTTCCTCACAGCATGGCACCAGGGTTCCAAAAGCAAGCATCCAGAGAGAAAGCCTGACAGAAGCTCTACTGTCTTTTATGATCCAGTTTCAGGAATCAATCAAGCAGCATCACCTCCACCTCATTCTGTTCATGAGAAACAGATCAGAGAGGCCAGCCCATACTCAAGGGGATGGGAATTAGACTCCAACTCTTGATAGGAAGAGTATCAACAAATTTGCAGACGTGTTTAAAATGACCACAAAGATCAAGAAGTCACTAGGAGAAACAGAAGCCACTGGGAATCTCTGAAAATACTGACTGTGAGGGTCATGCTAGTTTTCCCATCATGTGTGGAAATGGGTCCCAGATGATTCCATTTGAGTAGCACAGGGCGGGGTAACCTCAGAGGCTAAAAGACTTCGGGGGATCCCAGGTCAGTGATGCCAGTTCACCTGTCTGACATCCACGGTAGATAGTAAACTAAGTACTCTCTGCCCTGGGCATTGGGCAGCCCAAGGTTAGGGGCCAAGAATGAACCCTTGGAGGACTGCCCCCAGGAATTCTCAGGCTGAAGGCTCATAGGCCATCTGCTGCCAAAGCTGGTGTAGATGGTGACCCCATGATACCTGAGGAATCAGAACTAACTGGTCGCTCCTCAGGCCCATGGAAAAGTCTTGGCCCATCTCTCAAATTGCCTGCATTGGTAAGGGTTGTTCTAGAATAGCAGCCCCTATGATCTCTCTGCTAAATCCTGAATCCCCAGCATATACTGCTCCCAAAGACAGCTGGAGGGGCCCCAGAATGTAAGATGGGCCCTGCTATGTTGGAGGGAAAACCACTAGGGCTTCCCAAGGTGACCCAGAACCAGTAGCCTCGGTGCTCAAACCTCTCCAAGGAAAGAGGGACCCCAAGAGATCTTTCCAAAACCCCTGGCGACTCAAGGAGTTACCCCCCCACCCCGTCCTTCCTCCTACCCACCCACTCATTACTCTCTGGGGAAGCAGTAAAGAATAGTGATCAAGAGGACAGTATCAGGAGTTAGATCTGAGTTCAAATCTAAGCTCTGCCTTTTTCTGGCTATGTGGCCTTTAGTAAGTGGCTTAACCTCTCTGAGTCTGAGTTTCCTCATTTAAAGATGTAGATAATAATTGTACCATCTTGAAGTGTTATTGGAAGAATTAAATAAAATTGTTTATGTAAAATGCATAGCACAGTGCTCAATAGATGGTTATGATTATTCCCAAACATTCACTGTAGGTCAAGACTTAAGTAACACGGATTCAGAGATGAATCAATCTACGTCCTCAAAGAATTCTCAGGCTAGTAAAGAGACAGACAAGTGACCAGACAGTGATAATACAGTTCTGTCAGTGCCATGACTGAGGGAAGCACAGGGCCTGACAGCACAAAGGGGAAACTTCAGCCCTAATAAGTAAAAAAGACATTCAGGTATAAATGATTGGAAAGTGAGAAATAAAGCTGACATTATGTATAGATAATAGGATTGTCCACATAAAATGAAACAAAACAAAAAGTCCACAGACAAATTATTAGAATTATTAAGCAAGGCAGTTGGATGTAAGGTCACTATACAAAGGCCATTACATTTCTACACAGCAGCGATGAGCAATTGACATAGAAAACGTAATATTTAAAAGATGCCATCTCTAATAGAAACAAAATTATAGAGTACTTAGGCATGACTGAAACTAAAAGTTGTGTAAGATCTATATGAAAATAATTATAATACATTATTGAGAGGTACTTCCTCAACCAAGTGATCAAATCTAATATCACCAATCATTAGACAAATGACATTGCATGCCCTCAGATGTGAAACACAGGGATAGACATCTTAGTGACATAATATTCCTTCCAAAAATGTTTAACCTGTATCTAACCATGAAGAAACAATCATACAAGGATTGCTGGTGGGAGTACATATTGGTACAACCATTTTGAATCTAAATTAAATGATATTTTTGCAAAACAACTGGCCTGTACTTTCAAAAATATAGTGAAGGACAAAATTCACATAGGTCAATGACAGGCTGAGAACTGTTCTAGATGAAAAAAGATAAAAGAGACAAGACAACTAAATA